GGACCGCTCCCCGCCGTCTTCACTATCGAGCTTCCGGCCGAACCGCCGTAGGCCTTGTTCCCTTCGGTACATGGTGGCGGCCACACCACAAACGCGGTTGGTGTGATCTCGCAAAACTACAAGCCCCTCCGATGTACAATAATGGTGCGCGCAAGCACTAAGTGGTAAGAGGTATGCAAACCTCACTAAACACTAGGCCTAAATCTAGAGCAAGCGCATAAGAGGTGGTCTAATCAACCTAAGCACTTCGCAAAGCACCTACTCTAATCACCTAATGAATCACTAAGCACTATGCAAGTGAGGATCACTAAAATGATGTATCAACACCCTTGGTATGTTTCCTCAGCTCCAATTATATCAAATGGCTGGTTGGGGGTCTATTTATAAGCCCCACTGAGAAAATAGCCGTTGGGGCCGAAATTCCTCTTTTCTGCTACTGACTAGACGCTGCTTTCGTCTTGACCAGACGTGTCCGGTTGTCCCGACCATTAGAACGTACGATCAACTGATAGGACACTGATGGCGTCTAGTCACATGCCACCGGATGCGTACGGTCGCAATTTCGCCGCTCTAGAACCTCTCTAGAGTCGATCGAACGCTACAATTCCTACGTCTGGTCGATTTGCCGCCAGCGTCCGGTCAGTACTGAATGTGTTGGCAGGATGATGAACAGTGCCATTGGTACGTCTGGTCACTGCTGCTGACGACTGTTGTTGTCGAGCCTCTTGATCAGAGCATTCAGTCGCTATAAGGGCTACGTTCGGTCGCTGCGTCCGGTCACCTCTGTAAGCTCGTTTCTTCGTGATCTTGCATCCGGCTTGGTTCCTATCTTCGTGCTTGAACTTTGCTTGATATCTTAGGTCTTCTCTTGTGCTTCTAGGGTCTTGCTTAAGGTGTTGATCGTGGAATCATCACGTCGCCTTCGTCCAAGTCACGTCTTGCACCCTATTGAACTATAAAACAATCACTTGTAAATTCATTAGTCCAATTTGGTTGTGTTGGTCATCAAACACCAAAATCCAAAGTAAATGGGCCTAGGGTCCATTTTCCTTACATAAACGATACATAACAAGAATACGTACATATATTACGAAGACGGCAAAAATCAAACAAATAGCATATTTTTCACAGCAGCTGACGTCAAAGTTGTTCCGATCGATTTGCCGCCAGCGTCCAGTCAGTACTGAATGTGTTGCCGGGATGATGAACAATGCCATTGGTGCGTCCGATCACTTTCTGTTTTCAGCGTCCGATCGCTGCTGCTGACGCCTACTGTTGTCGAGCCTCTTGATCAGAGCGTTCGGTCGCTATAAGGGCTACGTCCGGTCGCTGCGTCCGGTCACCTCTATGAGCTCGTTCCTTCGTGATCTTGCATCCGGCTTGGTTCCTATCTTTGTGCTTGGACTTTGCTTGATATCTTGGATCTTCTCTTGTGCTTCTAGGGTCTTGCTTAAGGTGTTGATCGTGGGATCAGCACGTCGCCTTCGTCCAAGTCACGTCTTGCACCCTATTGAACTACAAAATAATCACTTGCAAATTCATTAGTCCAATTTAGTTGTGTTGGTCATCAAACACCAAAATCCAAAGTAAATGGGACTAGGGTCCATTTTCCTTACATAAACGATGCATAACAAGAATACATACATATATTACGATGACGGCAAAAATCAAACAAATAGCATATTTTTTTGGGTTCTAAAAAATACCAGGATTTGAGGGTTCGGAAAGATCTGTTGGATCTCGTCATCATCAGCTTCATTTGGGTTGTTGACGTCAAAGTTGTCTTCCGCAACAGCTGACGTCACGGGTCGTCGACGTCCACCACGGCTCCTGGATCTGGCAGGCGCCCCGGATGCAGATCTAGGCAAGGCGCGCACGCCGGTGATCACAGGAGGCAACGGAGGTCGACGACAAGGCGCGAGCGGCCGTGGCGCCTCCTCCACCGGCACTGCGAGCCACGCGTAAGCCGAGGGTACGACTGCCGCTGCGGACGCGAATGGGAGGGGGACCCATGCTGCCGCCGGTGCCTCCACCTTGCGGGCCGGAGCGAAGGAGGCCCTCATAGCCCGCCATTCTGGGCCACTCTTGGCCATGGGAGTTGAGGTCGAGCGCCGCCATGCTCGCCCGGGGAGCATTGACGCTGCTCGAGCCCGAAAAGGGATATGCCGCGTCGTTGAAGTTCTCGTAGCCACCGGCGGGGGAAAACGGATTAGGTTGCGAGAAGTCCCTGGTGCGGTTGCCATCGCCGCTCCCGTTGCCGTCACCGTAGCCGTCAATGTTGTAGCCGTCCATCAGTGAGGCTGGGGAGGAGGACCTGGCTCAGGGCGGCGGCGTAGGAAGAGCTGGATCTGGGGCCCGAGGAGGAGCTAGATCTGGGGGCGGTGGAGGAGGAGCTGGATCTAGTTGGCCGCGGAGGCTCAGAGCGAAAGCGGCGGGCAGAGCTAGGGTTCGCGCGGAAGGAGAGAGCGAGAGTGGTGAGGAGTGACTGTGGGGGTATGGATAGGGTCTGAGCGGCGGGGTGGGTGGGTGCAGGGGTTTAGATTCATTTTGCCAAAAGATGGGATAAAACAGTAAAACTTTTGGCAAAACTGGGGGAACTAAACATGCCCTAAGGCATTCTTGGATATAGGCTTTCTAGGCACCGATCAATCCTCTATCCCTCTTGTAGCGACAGGCCCAACGGTCTAGATCATTGATGATCCCGTGCAGGATAACATTGGGTGAGACATCTTCATCGTTGAAGATCATTGCATTCTGAGCCTTCCAAATGTGGCATAGGGAGATGAGCAGCACGTCGAGCCTGACCTTGGCAGCTAGGGAGACCCAAATCCAGCCCGATGCACCACGGCTACCGCTGAAGGCCTTCAGAGACCGTTGTGTGGAGGCAGCGCCAAATACTGCGCGCTTTGGGGCACGAAGCAAAGATGTGATCGCTGGTCTCAAGCACGCCGTCTCAGGAAGGGCAATACGATTCTTCAAGCGGCTTGATATGCTTTTCCGTAGAGGTTGCCCCGCGAGTTCATTCTGTCGAAATGAACGAGCCAGCCAAAGAAGTACGTCGCCGGCGGGCTCGGTGGCGCCACACAGACCATCGCGAGGGCGTTCCCGCACGTGGAATATTGCAGCGTGCTTGATCTCCTAAATGTCGTTGCCGGTGCTCCCGCTGACACCGCCGTGAAGTACGTTGCCGTACACATGTTCGAGAGCGTTCCGTCAGCAGACGCTGTCTTCCTCAAGGTACTTACGGCCATCTACGTCGTAGTCGTAGTAGTGACATATATGGCAACCAGTAGATGGGAACAAAAAGGTTAATAACAACCAGTAGAAAAATATATGGCAACGACTCATATATATAATTTTGTTCTCTTTTGGTATAGTGTGTGTATATATATATATACCTTATTTGGTAGCCAGCCAATCCAGCGCACCAGGTGTCTCCCGCTGGTCCTCACGATCCAGTTCCGTGCCGCTGACACAGGAAGCCGCGGAGCCGAATGAGCCGATGTGCTGAGCCACACGGTTACGTTGGTCCACCTACAGTTATTGCCTGCCCATGATTACCGCTGGATTTAATTTCCTACCTAAAAAGCATGCATAGCTATTATATTATCTACACGTACGTGCATGCCAAGCAAGTACATGGTTACTAGAATACGTTAGCAAGGTCGTAGAATTACCACAGTTTGGTGTCAAGCAATTCCGAACTAAAATTTAACATACAATAACTTGGATATTTTAAATGGCTGGATACGTTAATCAGGATGGGTAGTTACTAGATTTTGGCGTCATGTCAGGAAATTCTGATAAACTTGTTGCTATCACAACAACACTAATTTACCATACTATAATTTTGATATTTACAATAAATTGAATTACGATAATGCAAGTGTACGTCGCGGCGTCCATGTGCAAAGGTACCGAAGTGTATACATGTACGTGTTACGATAATACAAAGTGCAGCTAGCTAGGAAGTATTTGGTTACTATAATAATAAGGCCCATGTGCCATGGTAATTTACGATAATTTGAATAGGGACATGTTGGACCAATGCTTGCAAACTATGGAATTACCATAATTCTTATTGCTCGGACTACAATTTGAGTAGGAAATTACCACAATTTTATGCCCCGGTTATTTGATTACTATAATAATAAAACAAATCTGCCATGATAAATTTACGATAATTCAGGATTGAGGTTGCCGCAATTTATGGTCGTGAGTATGTTTTTGGTAACCATTTGCAGTAATATCAAGGCTAATAATTTACAAAAACACAAACAATAATCTGAATTGATCAGGATGATGATAATTAGATTGGGAAATTAACAAAAATTGGTGCCATGTGTTCAGATCCACATCCGGTTACTATAATAGTATAATGTCAAGACCACCATGAACTAATTGTCATTGTTGACTGCATTCATGGGACAATGCTAGAAGGTAAATCGAAATACGTATACAGTGATGCCATACTCAGACTCGTTTTGGTTCTTGTGCGTCGGCCGTCGGCCCAAACTTTTTAATAATTAATCTGATTCTACCTGGTGTAGATGAAGCCAGATATAAACTATATATATTCTAAAGGAATAATCTGTGCTAATCCGATGGGAGTGGCCTCCAGGTTGAACGAGTACGATAATAGTTACCAGAACTTGTATAGTTGGTTACGATAATTAGAGAATGCCTTCAGTAATTACGAGAAACTATTTACGATAACAAAATCCGTGCCCAGGCCGTACATCCGCCATGGTGGCCATCAAGGCATCAACACCACGACGGGATGCTCCGGACTGGCCGGGCCGCCCCCTCCATGGGTTCGTCGTGGAACAACCCTTGCCCCGATCTGCCATGGGAAGAGGGCTGCTGGTGGTACCGTAGGGAGAGCGCGTCGCAGGGCCGTCGGCGAGGTCAACGCGGTGGAGGTCGACGCCGCAGGGAGCACGCTGGAGGAGCGCGCCACTATCGGTCACTGCTGGCGGCGAACGCGAGTAGGGCCGGCCATGGCCAAGCTAGCGGCCTGCTGGTCTCTGCTGGGCTGCGTGTCTGCGCCGGGCCGCCGTGTGCCAAGCCTCCGCTGCGACGCCGGAGAAGGAAGGCCGCGGCGGGGATGCGAGCTGGTGGGACCGTTCATCATTGCTCCCTTAATTGGAAGGGTGCCAGGGGGTTCGCTCATTGGTTTTAACCAGCGTTTATTAATCAGCCAACAGTGTTTTTCTCTTACAATAAATAAGCATTAGCCGAGCTCATCAACCCAGAAACCAACCGACGAACAGGCCAAATGAAAGCAAGCCCATCCATCTCTTGTCATCGGCAAGAAGAAATCCTAACGAAATAACAAACCAGTGGAAATCCGATTGCTCAATCTTGTTGTCTCCAATACGCACTAAGCAGCGAGGGGAAAAGCTAATCTGGTAATAGTAAAATCATATTGCGACAAAATCTTACCATGAGATTTTTATTTAGCACGTCCACCCCCTGGTGTGTGCGCAGGCACTGTGACTGAGATCCATCCCAAAGACATCAACTCCAAGGCTACGAAATATGAATTCCCAGTTAGGCCCGTTTAGATCCAAAATTTTTTAGGTTTTGGCTACTGTAGCACTTTCGTTTGTATTTGACAATTAGTGCCTAATTATGGATTAATTATATTTAAAAGTTTCGTCTCGCGATTTCTCACCCAACTATGTAATTAGTTTTTTTTTCGTCTACATTTAGTACTCTATGCATGTGCCGCAAGATTCGATGTGACGGGTACTACGTAAAATTTTTTGAAATCTAAATGGGGCCTTACTAGCTGACTAGACCAAAAGTAACCTGCTCTTAATCCAAAAGCAATCTGCTCGAGATTGGATGAGTCATGCAGATTTTTACAGCGGCTTACCTGGAGATCCTATCTCTGCTCACATCGATGGGGAGTGCTCACCTGAAGATCCTCTCCCCGCGGGCATGGATGGCCAGGTCCGATTTGAAGCTGCGATGTGGCTGAGACGGACCTTCTCTGGCGGCGCGTCTGGTGGCGAACGAAGGACACGATTATGATTTGGAGTTTGTGATGTCATGGCCTCACGAGTCGTAGAGAAATTTGCGGCGCTCCCCAATGGCTCGAGAGCGTGGATGACGGAGCCAAGCCGGGTGACGCTGTTGTGCATGAGTAGGCTGGGTGGGAGCCGATCCAGCAGGACTACCTATTGGCCTGTTGTGTGGTGCCTGGTGCGCCAGGGCACGCACGGGTTGGACCCGGCTACACAATATGTTATTCTGTAACTGGCTACAACTAAAAAATTCCTACAGTCAATATCTACTCGGTAGGACGATAGGTCGTGTGACCCCGCGTCTACCTGGCAGGAAACAAACCTCACTCGGTAGGAAATAAACCTCGCTCTCGTCCGCCCCCTGGCTCCCTTGCGACAAAAATCAAAAGGAAACAAACCTCACTCCGTAGGAAAGAAACCTCGTTCCCGTCCGCCAGGCTCCGCATCCACCGCCGCCGCCGCCTCAAGAGCCCGCCGGCACCCGCGCCCGCCCGCAGCTGGGTGCGCCGCCGCCGCACGCGCCTGCCTAGCCCGCCTGCGGATGGTGCTAGCCAGTGTCAACAATGAGGAGGCGCGGTGGACGGGCCGCCGCGTTGTGCGCCGGTGTCTACCGCTGCTGGAGGGACGCCGTGAATAAGATCGTGCGCGTCCTAGAGGCGTCAGGGAAATTCACCTTCCCCATCTCTCTCAAGTAGGTTAGTTTGAATCCCCCACGAACTCTGTCAACCTTGGTGTTTTGTAAAAAGTTTCTGTATCACCGGATTTTTTTTCTTTTCACCTTGAGTAGTCATTGCCGGTGATGGTCTTGGCCATACTGCATTCATCATTTGTTAGTGTCAAAACCTCTGTGTCCAGTTTACGTGTGTAACCCTTCGTCGTCACTGGAAGACATCAGGCAGAATTCCGTTAGTACTACCCACATGATGATCATATTTGTTTAATACTTTTCAGTTCTTATTAAGCACAAGAAATTTATCGAGAAGGTTAGGTAGGTCCAGATACTATTCTATACTCATAGGAGGTAAGATTAGTAGACAATTCTTTTTGAATTTGTTGGTTAAGTCAATTTGCTTAGAATCAAGTATGCAAGGCCAAATGTTACTTTAGGAGACAGTCGGCTTGTTTTTACGGTCGGCTCTGTCAAATGGTGGACAGATTCTTATTACCGTTTTAATAAGAGGGTTAATGCTTGATTTGTCGTTCCTTTGACTCTGAAATTTTATTCATCGATTTATTTGTGTTTTATTAACTTGCAATTTCAAATCTCTATACTGCAGCCTGGTCCAAGGGATAACCATCAATGCGTTGAGAACTCAACGAGGCAGAAATGTTGGATCAATAGGTACTATATTTCTTTACCGCTGCCAGCAGCTTGTATACTGACAGAGAAACAATCTCCGGTAGTAACTTAATACTCAGATGGCGCTTGCCTCTGTGCGGCGCACGCGGTCTGTGCTCTGGCCCCGGCCCCGGCGTCGGCGGCCACCCGGTCTTCCCCGGTTCCTGTGAGGGCAGCTCCAACGACATGACCGGTTCCTCAGCCTGCGGGCCACGGCACCCGGGTACCAGATTGATGCGCACCCAGGCCCCGTTTAGTTGCAAAAATTTTTGGCTTTTGGTTACTGTAGCACTTTCGTTTTTATTTGGTAAAAATTGTCCAATTATGGACTAATTAGGCTTAAAAGATTCGTCTCACGATTTCTCGGCTAACTGTACAATTAGTTTTTTTTTTCGTCTACATTTAGTACTCCATGCATGTGCCGCAAGATTTGATGTGACGGTTACTATGCAAAAAATTTTGGTTTTTGGCTTCAACTAAACGGGGCCCCAACCTCCCTTCTGGTTGTGCAGTATGGTCGTCTCTGTGCTCTGTGCCTTCACGAGGCAACTTCATGGATTCCTCCCGCGGCTGCAGGCAAGGCCCCCAACCTGAGCTGCTTTGTTGTGTTTACTCATGCCATCCTATTGATTTTGATCCTTTGCTTATGTGCTTGTTCCATTGGGTATATACATGATGGACGACAGGCTGGAGCAGAGCAAGCTAGCCCACATAACAATATAGTGATGTCTTGCTTGTTCAACGCTGGGAAAAAGATTCTGGGAGGTTTCGCTATTTAGAAACTTATATTCTCTTTGGTCTCAAGCATGATTATTTTAGCTACACTACGACCATGCCAAATCATGCCTCTGACTGTCAGGTCGTATATCAGGTAACACAGTAAACTACCCTTGGTATTATATTATGATATGCCGGTAAACAAAGACCAAATCAGTTGTTCATGTAGCTATTTATTGAGAAGAAATAGTGCTGGTGTACGGCTCTATTAATTTATCAACCATATAAATATTTAGATTTCGACACTCAGGTGCTTCAAGGTGAAGGTATAACCTATTCCTTGCCCACCTTCAAAGTCATGGTGGTAGTGCCGCAGACATTGAATTCTTAGTTATTGGACCTTAGTGAGCGTTAATGTTATCGGAGGAAGTTATATTGTTATGAATAGTTTTCTTCCACTTGGATTTAATTCTTTACATGCTATATGGATCTATATATGAACATTAAAAAGTGAATGTTCATACCAAGACTATGACCTTTCTTTTGCTTTACTTTTGGTGTTCTCCTGACTAGACCTCTGATCACCAATTGACCCAAACAATTGCAATGTCATCAGTTGTCAATACGGTTTGGCTTGTTTCTGAAATGTACTGCAGCTTCCTACATGCATTGTCCTTTTCCATGCTATATATTTATGATTGTTCACTGTCTTCAGTTGTTGGTTTTCTATGCACTGTAGATGGTTCTTTCAGTTATATAGAGATTTTCTTCAGTTGAGTGTTCCTGCTCCCATGGTTCCACCTTTGCGCTTGCCACTTCATTCGGTCTATTTATTTGGTGCTTTATCGTCCTTCGTATATGTACATGGCTGTCCAAATACTGTTGTCACCCGCTTTTTTCCAATGTAGTCTTCCTATCATTGGTCACCTGGCAAATATGTGTACCATACCTCATACCCGGCCATGCCATAATCTATCCTTACTACCTAAATAATGTCGGCTTACTATTTTCATTGAAATTCTTGTGGGTGAACGAGTGAATATTTAAAGGCTGAGAATTTGCATCTTCTGCTGGTTGCCATGCATGGATTGCCGTTGCTCGTAGTTATGCCCATTGTCTTAGATTTCATAATACCATGTCAACTAGCTACTACTATTGTCTTGTACCTTGGATTCTTAGAAATCACAATAGCATTCTCTAGAGCCCGAAAAAAACACATCTGCTGGTTGCCATGCATGGATGCCCTTGCTCGCCCGTTATGCCCATTGTCTTAGATTTCATAATACCATGTCAACTATTGCCACTACTATTGTATTGTACCTTGGATTCTTAGAAATCACAATAGCATTCTCTCGAGCCTGAAAAAACAGTGATGACTTTACCAAAACAGTGCATTCAATTTCCCTATATCCCGCTCTCATCTTCTTTGTACCTTTTAATGATGAATGACGGTGTTGCTTATTGAGCCCTTCTAACTGGTTGTCTTATTAAATCACCTAGAACTTCAACGTGCCGGATTTTGGGATCAACACACTTTCAGAGTCAAAGAGGCAAGATGAACTGCTCCATAATACTCGTGGAACACCAACAGGATGGACTATGATGATGCAGAATCAGACGTCCGGTTCCTAGCTATCTCCCTTTTGCAGAGGTGATTTTTGCATTGCTTTTTTAATAGTTCATTGCTATTTGCAACAGTACATGACTGTTTTGAATAGTTTATTGTTATTTACAGCAGAGGCGGCTCCTTTCGGACACGGGCAGGCGTTGTGGGCTACCCGCAGATTCTTCATCCATACCTAGGTTAAGGTGTGTTCTTCTAATTTTTTTTGTCATTCAGTTCAGATAACAATGTTAAGTGTAGAAGTAGAGCATGTATTTGGAAAGTTTAACCAAAATATCTAATAAGTCATTGTACCTGTAATCAGGGGCGAACCTAGGATATCGTGTCACTGGGGTCAAGGACTAAGCAACGGGGTCAAAGATGTGTTGATTTTCTATTTGAAGAGCAATTTGCTGGTGGATGAAAGAATTTTTAAAGAGTTTTTGGCAAGTTATCGAGGTCAGCTGACCCCAATGGTTACACATAGATTCGCCCCTGCCTGTAATTTCTTAATGTGGCACTCAACAGTTAGAAAACGGGGCATTATAGATAAACATTAGACAATCCAGTATAACTTTTGTGAATGTTCATGTCATCAATTTGAGTCAGAAATATCTGGAGTGGTGGTTTTATGTCTTGTTAAATGCTTATTAGTGATTGTGTTTACCATAAAAAATGGCAGACCCAGTGCCAAAGGATCCCACATGAGTGGGGTCTAGGGAAGGGAAAAACCGAGGTAAGCCTTTCCACCACAAAATCTACGGAGAGCCTGCTTCGAATCCACGACCTGGTGACTTAGTGAGACAGCTCTCACCACTGCACCAGGCCTGCCCTTCTAAGTGATTGGGGGTGTTCGTTTGTGCTAGAGCTGCACCTCCATGGCTGCAATACACTCACTATTTTACTGTACTAGCAGCTGCATTTGACCGAAAGGTCCTGGGTTTGAGTCGTGGTCTCCTCGCATTGCACAGGCGAGGGTAAGGCTTGTTACTGACACCCTTCCCTAGACCCCATACAGAGCAGGAGCTCTCTGCACTGGGTACGCCCTAGCAGCTGCATTTGGCTGCATCAGGCACCCCTAATTGTGTTTACCATAACTGTATTAATTGTGACTGAAAACTGCTTCTTTTAATTGGCACGATCGTCGTTGACCCCAACTGTCTATGATTTAAGCGCTACCTGTTGGTACTTTTGACACAGTTTATTATACTTGTAGTTATAGCCTATATTATGAGTGGATGCTCTGAGTGAAAAAAAAAATCTCAATTAGTTTTGGAGTCAATGAAATTGAGCTGCTCAATTTGTTTGGAGAAAAAAAAGATAATAGAGCAATAAAAATGGAAAAGTT